GTGATTTTTGCCCTGCCCCCAAAAGTTGCAGCAGAGAATTGCTGGCCTCGAAAAAACCGAAAACTCTCTGAGGGTCCAGACACACACGTAGCAGCCTGACTTTCAGGCGCTGCAGCTGCACTCGCATTCGGAGTTTGAAGTTGGGTTTTGCGAGTTGCTGGGAGTCGGGAGTCTGGGACCCAAGTAGATGACCCGCATGAAAATGCTGGCCCTGGCATATTTTTATGCCGCAAGCATGCAGGACAAATGGCTGAAATTTTTGCAGCTCTTGATGATGACGAGGACCGAAGGAGTGGCAAGGACAGCGAAGGCTGCAGTTAGTTTTCGACATGTGTACGTGGTCCGCCATCAGCAGTAGTCTGGTCATGCCACTAAAAAGTCACTCTCCTTCGCAGCCCTTTCCTACTATACATATATATATAGTTCACACAGTTGCAGCAAGCACTCAACAAGATTTTAATACCTTTCGAATTTCGCCGAATTTTTACAAGCACAAACGTACTTCTATTAATAACTTTGTTGCTATGCACAATTACATGAGCTTAGAGATTAGAATAGTAGCATCTATCAAGTGATTTTTATGCTGAAATACATAAGTATTTAAACACCAAATAAGTGGTGTAACACAATGTTTACAACAAATAATAATGAAAAGAAAAAGTGCCAATAAAAATGGACACTTAGCAAACCCGAACATTGAAAGTCTCTAAAAGAAATTAAACTTTAAAAGAGATGTAAATTTAAATGTAGAGTGTCTTTTTCTTTGAGTGCATCCTAGTTGCTTCCGTAACTTGTCCGTTAGGGGCCAAGCACAGGATGGGAATGTATATACATAGAGTACGTATGTTTGAATGTGCGGAGAAATTGAACAAGTCGTTTGTCGGCCGCCCTAGGAATTTATGTGAGCGGAGAGCGCGTTGCTCGAGTTGAAAATTAAACATTGCGTATACGCCTAGGTGCATAATAATTCATGCCTGGAGTGGAGCCTGCCACTGCTTGCCAGGCGACTGCAGGCGAAATTGTGTGTAAAATGTTTTAATATGAGCTCATAATATACGAGCCTCAGACGACAGGGCGGCAACCGGTATTGGTCGCAGCCCAAAGTAAGTGGACACCGCAGCTCAATTTGTGATTTATGGACATTGGCGCTCTGCCTTAAAGCGCAAGAATTGGAACTGGAGCACCTCCCGGCTGTGGAAGGAGCGTATTGGCTTGCAAGTGTTGCCCTTTCTGCTGCACTTCGGGCCAAAGGCCATGAAATTTTATTGTTTAGTTTGCCGGGCGGTCAAGGCATGCGATATGCCTAAAAATGGCTGCCATCCGGATATCCTGTGGCGCACAGCCTGCCGCATGCACAGGGTCGGCAATTGAATTTACATTTGGTTGTAGCTTGTATGTTGTACGCTGCCAGAGAAGAACACAAAAACACTCAAAGCATCGTGCGCTTTTTGCTGGCAATTTTTTGGCATTTGTTTTCGTTGCTCTCTGTTGCTCTGTTGTTCTGTGTCTTTTTTTTTTTAATTGAGCTGGAAGTTGTTTGTGCTCTCGAGGACACCCTGGGATAACAATAATAAAATTCTACGATGTTTACTCGCTGGTCAGCGAGGCGTAGCTCCTGAATACTTTAAAGCCAAAGGCCGCAGATACCACTTTCCAATCGAATGGGCCAAATTCAATCAGGAACTGGCCTAATTATAATCTGCGTAAAACCTACACACAAAACACACCACAGCTCTGATTTTGTTTGCGCCGTGTTTTTTGTTCCCGCAAGCGCTGTTTAGTAGTTGGTTTCCATTACCGAACTGGCCAGCTCATGTGGTTGGGCGTTTTTTCAGCATTCGATGGGAAAAATCAATTATGCCCTGACTGGATTTAATTAAATATTGTTGGCATTTTTTCTTGACTGCATATTAACGCAATTATTGAATGGGTTTAGGCGATTGGTTTTTATTCAATATTTTTTTGCGGGCCATCGTAAAATTCTTCTCCCTCAGCAGGTGGTAAAAAAACGACGCGGATGGAATGGGAATCGGTCCGGGTCGAAATGCAATTGTGAAGCGTTTTGCAAATATTTTAGCACTTTTAAATAAATACATGCCGGCGGGGCAGCTGCACTTTGGCGCAATTTATGGCAGCAAAAGTTAAAACGAAAGCCAAGCCAAAAAATGGCATTCACGTTAGACGTGGGAAAAAACGTTGACTGGGAATGGCAGGCCCCATAAAACTGCCGTGTGTCGACGTTTCCAAAAATTCAAATATTTATTTTAAATTTTTGCCCTGCACAAACATTTCCGTTTTGTTTATTTATTTCCCAGGAGGAGGCTAGTTCTGGATTCCGGTCAATTTCGATGGTAGTAACTGGTATGTAAACGAGAGCTTAGCTTCAATAATGGTTTTAGCATTAAACGCGTCATTTTATGTACCAATTCGCACACGAAACCTTGCCATGACATAACATCAGAAAATGGGAAAGGTATTTGGTTTGTATTATCAGCAAAGACTTTTGTTTTCAACTGATAACATAATCTATGTTAAATTTTCAAACTAAATTACTGTGCAATCATCTCCAGGCTACGACTGGATTTTGGCCAATTATTTGATTAAATTGCCTGGTGCTTTCACATATTGGGAATATCAGTTTACACTTGCGATAATCTCAAGTAAATACGTTGGCCAAGGTTAAGCCCTCAGGAGCCTTTTACTTTTGCTTCGGCGAACACGCATGCCGCACTTAAAAAAAAAGGTTTGCAAAAATGATTGCTGCTTGTTAAACATTTAGAAAAATGCAAGACTAAAATGCATTCAAAATTACCCTGAACACCAAAATTTAATTAAAGCCACTTAAATTATAGTGTTATTTTTTTTTGTTTTAAATTGGGTGTAATAAAATTCTTGTTTTACAACATGAAAAACTTCCTCATTATTCGACCAATATGCTTAAACACATTATTGTGTGAATAAAATGCATCCATAAATATTTTTAAAACCAAAGTTTAATTAAAGGCACTAAAATTATAGTGTTTTTTTGTATGAAGTTATTAAGAGTGTAATACAACTTTTTGATTCGATAAGTAATTGTTTTACCCTCCTGTTGTATTTCCTAATTAATATACCAACACGTTTAAATTGTTAAAAGCTAATAATTTAACATTTTAATTTGTTTATGTAAGTAAAGGTTTGTGCTTAGCACTTTGTCTATTAAGACAATCTGTACTTTTTAAGTTGCTTTATAACATTTTTCCGAGTGCATCCTTTTGGCCAGCGTGTCCTTTCCTGGATGGGTTCAAGAGCCCACACCAATGTCATTGACATGCCGCGAAAGTAAAAGCCAAACAAAATGGACGTTGCTCGAGGGCCACGATGGGCCAGGATGTTTGGTTGAAAGGGCAGATGGAACCGGCTCTCAATATTCCAACCTGGCCAAAAGGGCCTTTACAATCTGGGCAATATTCCACAATATTCCACGAACTGCCGTTAATTACACAAATGCAAAAGTCCGTTGAGCGTCCAAATTGGTTGGTAATAAATAAATTCAATTGAATAATTTATTTAATTTATTTTCAGGGGCTGCCGGCACGTGACAGAAAAAGTAGTAGTAAACAAACAAAGTGTTTTATTTTTCACTCCGGCCCTCGTGTGTGTGGCAGGTGGGCAAATAAATGTGTGAAAAAAATTTGTCCGGGATGCGGAAGTGTGCAGCAAGCTGACATCGAGGTGTTAGAATTTGGTGCAGCGCAAAAAAAGGCGAAGCGAACGAAACAACAAATGGCAAACGGGTCCAAACACATTTTTCAGAGCCACACAAATGTGTGGCACAGGCCAAGTAAATTTGTGGAACGAAAACAAATCGTTTAATTGGCTTAAGCAAAACGTAACCATTATACGGTCGCACCGCTGCCGATTATATAACCGTCCAGGTCCCAGCTCAGCCCAACAGCCAAGCTGTTGACAGCGGCGTCGACTTTCGGCTTCGACTGCGACTGTGGATAAACCAGTTTTGTAGTTCGCCAGTTTCACTCCGCCACCGCTGCGCCTGCTTCACTTAACTCCGGCGATCTGTTTGCTTCGTTTTTTAAGAGCAAACTGACGCAAGGGTGCCACACCACCGTCCCAACCACAAGCGCCAACCACCAAGTGACACCGCCGCACCACCGATCGGAGCGAAGCCACTCAGCAACGGGTTTGGCTAGTTAGCACAGTAGACTTCGGATATAACGAAACTAACTAGCGAAAATTAGTCTAGAAAAGGGCAATACCCAATTATTAAGAAAATCGCTTCTTAATAATGTTTTTAGTATTATTAGTAGTAGCTAAAAAAACATGCTTTTTAATTTTCCAAATGATAGAAGTAATTTGACATTCAAATTTATTTAAGCACAAACAGTTGAGTAAACCTTTAGACAAATTCATAGGTCAATTTGAAATAAAAGCGAAATATATTATATCATTATCGCTTGAATTATAAACAGAATTATAGATCATTAGCAAAATAATGTTATGTAAGCTGACAAAAATATGGGATAGTAAAAATAAATGTATGGCTATTAAATTACAAGTTAAATTAATCAAAACGTTTCAACATAAAATACAATCCACATTAAATTGCTTATTTCAGTATAACAATATTTGAGCTAATGTGAAAAATATTATAATATTATTAATCCTTTTTGTTTTAAATGAATAAATAAGCTTAATATAATTTAAATTTAATTTATATATTCAGATGTTACAAATTATTCCGAAAATAGCCAATGAAGTTTAAGAAATATATATAATGTTTTCATGTTTAAAATAGGCTGAAAATCAAAGCGAAAATATTTTAACTGAGTCTTAGTATTTGGATTTACCACTTTTCTCTCACCAGTGTATACATATACATACAGTTGCGATCCATGCTAGCCAGGCCTTACTGTGCCAACTCAGCGCCACAATCTGGTCCGACCCAAGAAATTCGTGTGGGCCATCGAGCGAGAGCATATAAAGATAATGGAAAATCTTGGCGCGACTTAGTCGCTTAACCCGTTAGCACACTCGCACTTGAGCCCTCGTTCGAGCCAGAAATGCAGTCCCAATCGCTCCTGCTGATCGCAGCCGTCGCCACGTTGCTGGTGGCCCAGGTCAGTGCCCAGTGGTTGCCCTTGCTGATGGAGCCGACTCCTTACCCGCTCCTTACTTTGCAGACGGCGGCCAAGTACCAGGTGAAGAACCACGAGGACGCCGAGAAGGCCTTCGAAGAGTGCCGCGAGGACTTCTATGTGCCGGACGACATCTTCGAGAAGTACCTGGAGTACGAGTTCCCCGCCCACCGGCGCACCAGCTGCTTCGTCAAGTGCTTCCTGGAGAAGCTCGAGCTCTTCTCCGAGAAGAAGGGTTTCAACGAGAGGGCCATGATCGCGCAGTTCACGGTCAAGAGCAGCAAGGACCTGTCCACGGTACAGCACGGCCTGGAGAAGTGCATCGACCACAATGAGGCCGAGTCGGACGTCTGCACCTGGGCCAACCGAGTCTTCTCCTGCTGGCTGCCCATCAACCGCCACGTGGTGCGCAAGGTCTTCGCCTAACTGCAATGTGATATAGTCCCCCCTTACTGTACACCTCCGAGAATATTGTAGAAATAAACAATTTTAGTTTTCAGACTTACTTTGTTTTGCTTTTGAAACTTTTTTTTATTATTCTCAATACTGATTTATTTTTGGCCGATTATAAAAATAAATATCCCATAATGGGTTTATTAAAAGCTTTTTCTACCCTTGCCGAGGGTATTATTATTAAACTTTTATCTCTTAAGCTATAAACCCATCTGTCCATCTGACACTCCGACACTATTTCAATAAGCTCCTATAAAAAATGGTAAATATCAACAACTTGAAAGAAAGCTATCTTCAGCAAATGAAGTATATTTACCTTAGCCGCTTATGTCAAAATTTAATATTCTTAAAAAAACTGTATTTTGATTTAAAAGCTTTTATGTTTAAACAGTGAAGCTATGAATATTTTTGTATTTATCCGATTGTTCCTTTTGGAGCTATATTGTATATTCGTCCGAAATTTTAAATATTGCCTAATTCTGCTTTCTCTCTTGGTTCAACCTGTTTTTATTGTTACAATTTTTTTTGTTCTCTTGTCCTAATTTTAACGTTATTTCAGCCTTATCAAACTTTAACTCTAACGAGTTTTAATTACCAAAATATCAACATGCTTTTAAAATAAGTCGATTTTTGGTACTGTAGTTCCGCGTTAAATAAATTTATAGTTATAACACATTTATTCTTAAACCTACCTCAGGCTATTCAATATTCTAGATATTCATTCTTAATCATCTTTTGCTTCAGGGCGAAAATTGTATGCAACCCATAATAAATAAATACATTTATTAATAAATTTTAGACAACGTTTTTCGTCTCTAAAACAATTGCCTTTCGTGCTTATTTATCCGGCTTGCAGCAGAAAACGAGTCAACATCTTTACTAATTGCATAGCAAACAAGGTTTCGTAACCTCCCAAGCCTTAATTGCCTTGTTTTGTAACAATTTTCCCAAGCTTATTCAGCTTTCTAAAATCTAACTCGGCCTACATTTTCAAAATATAGACTGATCGCAGCCCAAGTAGAACTGACCTAGACCAAGGCGATCGAGCCACGCGCTATTGATTCTGTTCTGTGCATTCACATCCACTGGATCCACATCCATTCTCCGGCGGATGAACTGGCATTCGTTGAACCCGCCGGCGTAATCTCGACTCACTGATAACCTCCACCTCCGCTGCATCGCCGGCAGCTGATTGTTGACTTCGCCGGGCGGATGTTTTCGTAGCTACTTCAGTTTGTGCATCGGCCGCAGAGAGATGAGTTCCAGTTCCCCGTGGACGATTTTACTCTGTCTTTTCCTGATCAGCAGCAAGGTGAGGCAAATCAGACAAGTCTAAGTAAAAGTCCCAAAATAATACTGCAATACGAATAATACTGCAATTTACCCATTTTGTGATGCAACCTTTCAAAGGCTATGTGGCTTTTCTCACTGACATAGTCAGAAAAAAATAGTCAAAACAAATAAATAAACTAAAAAAATCAATATAAATATAATATACGTTATTCTGTATTTCAAACGATTTGCATTCAAAAAGATAGTCAATGTTGAAAGAAATGATTGAGCAAGCTTCACGACCTAATGGAATAATTGTCATGTTATGCTTACTTAAAAAATACTTTTTCAAATCAAAAATGATTCCTTAATTGCGTTTGATTTTTTTTTAACAATATTCTTAGTATTTTACTTATTATTTATTTTTATAAAATATATGAGTCTTTTTACAGACCAAACGTCATAGCTTTCAACTCTTGAGTATTAAATTATTTCTAAAAAAAATATATATTTATGTTGTTTGCATTATATTATTTATAGGTATTATTGAGTCAAATCTTATATTAATCGAAGACTAAATGCACGCTTCCTAATTTTTAATAAGATTATTAAGTTTGAATTGTGCCATATATATGTTATTAATACTACAACATTAAAGTATTAAAAAGTACACTATAAAAGAAAGTCCCAACACTTGTGAATTTTATTTTTTCTACACTGCACTGTATTTTACTACAAAGATGTATATTTTACAGGTGCTTGCTGATCTTTCTGGTGATGCCCAGACGCTGGAGAAGTGCCTGCGGGAGCTGAGCTCGCCGGAGAACATCGCCGGCGACCTGCAGAAGCTGGAGCGGTATCCGTCGTGGACGCACGAGGAGCTGCCCTGCCTGATGCGCTGTTTGGCCAGGGAGAAGGGCTGGTTCGACACGGAGGCCAACAAGTGGAGGCTCAAGCGTCTGACCGACGAACTGGGCGCCGATGTGTACAACTACTGCAGGTTCGAGCTGCGGCGCACATCCTCGGATGGCTGCAGTTTCGCCTACCGCGGACTCAGGTGTCTGAAGCAGGCGGAGATGCATGCCGGCACCAGCTTGAGCAGCCTGCTACAGTGTTCCCGCCAGTTGAACGCCACAAATGTGGAGCTGTTGCAGTACAGTAAGCTGAAGGCCAAGGAGCCCATTCCCTGCCTCTTCCAATGCTTCGCCGATGCCATGGGCTTTTACGACTCCGCGGGCAACTGGCGACTGGCCAATTGGCAACAGGCTTTTGGACCCATCGGAAATGAGGATTCATCCTCCGCTGCGGACTACAGTGGCTGCCGCCTAAGTGAGAAACAGCGACAAGAGGCGGGCGACAAGTGCTCGTGGATGTATCAGGAGTACAAGTGCTGGGAGCGAATAAACGGAAACGAGCTAATGGAGGAGATGAAGGCTTCTGCTTAAGACCTTAGTGGTATTAGTGTCCTGCAAGGCACTCTTCCAAACCAAAAATTAATTTAAACACGCCTAGGATTTTTATTCGAACCCATAAGTTTAGGACAATCTTTTAAAATGATCGATTTAATTAAAATTATTTAAACAATTCTAAAATTGTAGATTGAAATTGATAAACACTTTTGGGAGAGGGCATTTTCCTTAGACGGCCATGGCGTAGCAGGTGAACTGTTTGTAGTAAGTGGCACATCGATCCCTGCCACTCTGGCGGTGGCAGCCCAAAATGCGAGCCCCATTGGCCGGAACGCCCAGCTCCTGCTTCATGGCCTTCAGTTGCCAGCGCCGCGTCCTCTCGTCGAAGATGCGCAGTTTGTCCACGAAGCAGCGAGTGAAGCATGGAATCGGTTCGTTGACGGGATTTTGGGCGAATTCCGCAAAGCTACTCCACTCGTCCTGGTGCACATCCTGCAGGCAGTCCTTCATCGCATCCTTGGCCGCCGGGGAGATGCTCGACATGCCATCGATCAACGTGAACGGGTGACTCTCCATCTACGAAGTATAAGTGTCAGTGCAGTTGAGCCAACCTTACGTATATATAAATAATAATCATAAAAATATACTTGTTTTCGTAAATGTTTATCAAAGATATATCTTCTTAAGAATCTAAAAGTAGCAATTAAAAATAAATAAAACTATTTAAAGTTCTATTCAACAATTAATTTCGTGTAATAATCTGGAGTTTAAAAAAGTATTTTAAATATAAATGGTTTTAATAACTTAATAATTTCAAAAATATCAATTACAAATTAATATATTAAACAAATTCCTTGAAAATAATTTTTCATATTTTTAACTTTTATGAAAATATTTTTTGGCTGATTTTTTTTAAGCATGCAAAGGCATTTTATGTTTGGAAAATAGCGAGGTGGTACTAAATAGTTTGAGATAATCTTGTCAATGTAAATGGTTTTATTAATATACAAGGTTTAAAATAAATTAAATTATTAAAAGTAATATTTCTAAATTTCTTTAACAGTTATTTTTAGTTGATGTTTCCAATGCATGGGAAGCCACTAATTATTTAAAAAAAATAGCTTTAGTAACCCTATTATAATATTAAACCATTGTTGCTTAAAAAAAAATATTTGAATACAAAAAGTAGATTGTGATTCCAGATTCGGAAGCAATATTTTGAAAAATTAATATTAGGAACATTTTTTATGGGGTTCCTTGACATTTGTCTTATCGCCGTCTACTCACGTTGGTGATGCAGTGGAAGCCCTCGTAGGCATGTTGGCAGCTGCTGGGGCTGGAACCCCACTTTGGCTCCAATTTGCTGCGGCAGGCTTCGTAGACTGGGCTTCCAAAGGCGTGCACTACTCCGGCCTTGTCGAAACCCGTCTGGTTGTTATAGAAATCGAACATCTCCGATAAGTAGCACTGCGTGAAGCAGGGAATTTCCTCGTAGCCTTCTGACCATTCCTTGAAGCGTTCGAGACGCTCGCCGATCTCCGGAGTTATTCCACCGTACCTCTTAATGCACTTGTTGATGGACTCGCCCTCATGCTCCAGTAAGGCAAGGTTTCCATTCTTTCATAATAAAAATATTACATTACAGTTGAAGCTCACATTTGACGGACTTTTCCTACCACGGAAATCCATAGGCAAATGGCTACTAATAATCCGCTCCGCCTTTGCATGATTTTATGTGTCTTTATTATTCTAGTAGTTTCTTACACGTTCTCTGCTGGATTAAATACTGGAGCTCAGGCGAAAAAATCATCAACCACCTCGCTGCCATTGGGCATTAAACACTCAAAGAAAATTCGAGTCCAAAGTAGAAAGCACCATAAAAAGTGGTTTAATTGTGAATAATGATTGTTAAATGTTTAATAAGACTTACCTAAGATTGAAACATGTTCAGAAAACTGCTTTCTTGCAACATTGATTTGTTTAGATAAACTATTAAGCTAAACACCACATAGATGACTCAACGAAATTTTTTTATACGTTCAATCATAGTAACGCAGTATAAAACGAAATCATTTTTCACAGTTTGAGCTCTACATAGTTTTCTAATCAGTAAATTGCTTTCCGCCTGATTTATTTGAAAAGAAAGGCAATTATCATGAAGATTCAATGCTTTTTTTATTAAACGAAACGCATTTTAATATTTTTATTTACTTGTAAGCTGCGCAATTCTGCAAGCATTGAAAGAGCATTAAAAACAAATTAAACAAATTTGCTTTAAAAAACATCCCCTCAGATGAAGCTTTCTAAAGTATTAACAACATGCTTCTTTTTAGTCACTCTATAATATTAAATTATTAAATATTGGGTTTTTTTCCAGTGTGTTCCTCTATCGCCCTCGTAATAGATAACCCCATTTACGACTACCTCAAGTTCAAACCAAAGCTGCCCAATGAGCGGCTGATAAGGGGGCCCTAATCAAGGCGCCTGGGTCAAGTTTTCGGGCTCAATTGCGCAAAGAATCACAGTGGGGATTACGCAACGAGCCGTGGATCGCAAATCGCAGATTGCAGATCGATGGCGATGGGCCAGCTGCCCAGTTGCATTTTTATTGATCAACACCTGACAACGGGGCCACGAAGACAGTCACTGGAATTGTGGTGCTATTGAATGCCGTTAATTGATTTGGTGTTTTTGTTTTGGCATTTTGCCCGGCCACTTGTCGGGCTTTTAATAATGTCTTTTCTGTGCGGTCGGCTTGTAAAGGAGCGACATCGTCCCACTTTACGCATTTTTGAGCAACCGGATTCGGGTTTTGGGTATTGGGCTCTGCGAGCGAGCAAAACATGTTTAACAAAACACGTCGCATCATCCCAGTCCAATGAAGAGATCTTCATCGACGCAATTGCAAGTGGGCAAAACAGCAAATAACTTCAAAGTGGTTCTGCCAGATCGGACAAACAGTCAACAAAAACAACTGCCTTCCACTTCCACGAATCCCAGACACAGCAAAAAAAAAAGATTAAGAGACGGCAATAGTGTACAAATATGTATAGTAGGTAGTAGTTTAGTGGACAAAAAATAATCTGATTTAAGACTTAGCATTTCATTTTGGTTTTATTTTTTTCTTCACTAATATTTACTTCTATATTTTATTTAAATTTATTTTACTTACCTTAAAGATTATGTATTTTAAAAAGTTTTGCCAATCTAGTGACAAAAATAATCTTTGGAAAACTAAAAAGAGAAAGTGAAATCATTTGTGTGAATATCAAAACATCGTATTCCATTCGAAATTATTCTTTCACACATTTTACTTCTTAAGAAACAGAAAAAAACATAATTTTTTTTGGTAATTGGCTAGACCGGTTTATATGTTTTATAAATAAATTTTTGATGTATTTAAATTCCAGATCATAAACTGAAAGTACATCATACAACGGATTTACAGCAAATTACTTTCATATTTTGATATTAAATTTATATTGTAGCACAAGTACGATTTGTTTCTGTGGACGTTTCCCTCACAATTTCTTCGCAATGACCTTGGCTTGTTTTCTTGCGTGTTTGGCCGTAAATATGATAAATCCAGTTTTCGATTTCCTCTCTTCTTTCACTCTCGCACAGTCGCAATTTGGACAAATTTTCGTTATATAGTTAATTGTTTTTTCCCGCCGCCGCCAGTGGTTGCCAAACGGCTTTCGGTGGGGCAACCGTGATGACAACGATGACGACACAGCAGAAGCAGCACCACCACAACAACGTCGTGCTTTAGTACCGAAATCAGCACCACCGGTGGCAGAAAACTGGACTGTCCGGTGGACAAGATGAAGCTGAATATAAAGATGAAGATGAAGATGCAATGGGGCCTGACCTTTGGCAATTCGAAATGCAGCCGCCTGCAACTTTGGCAACACTCGGTGTGCGATTTCAAAACGATCCCGAGACAGTGTTTAGCATTTTCATTGAGCTCGGCTCAACTTAGCATAGATTTGAATAAATTTTTCGGCAGGGCTGCGACCTGTCGCATTAATCCGCCTTTCTTCCCCCTCCGAAGTCCGCTGAATTTATTGAGAAGCTGGAATTTAAAAGCGTTTCTTTTGTGTGCAAGATTTCAAGGTTATAACCCAGTTTCTGCCAGGGCGCGTTCATTCGTTTTGTGTTGTCTTCTTTTTTGGCAACAGTGTTTTATGGTGAGAAAGAAATCGAAACCGAAAACCTCAAACTGGGACTGGTACTGGAGCTGAAACTGAAACGAAAATCGAATTCGATCCGATTCGATTCGTGTTCAATACATTAACCGGCCTTTTGATAAAAACTGAGAGATGTCCGGGGCGATAACAATATGGGCCTGTCCTTGGCTCCGTTGGGAACTGAACTTGCCACTAAATGCAGGCCAGCTGCGTTTAATGACATTTACAAATTGGGCCTGGCAAATATAATTAAAAATACATCAGGGTTGTGCAATTTTCGGCACATTTCGCATGCAAATCAAAGCTCTACTTAACGGGGTTGCTTCTGCTTTTCAGCTCTTCAGCTGTTCAGTTGTTCAGGCTTACAGCCTGCCTTTCAGCTTTTGGGTAATTTGGGGTTTCGCTATTCGAGGGGTGCCGGTGCCACGTGAAATGGCCATAATTAAAAATACATCTGGGCGGCATGTGGATTTTATGTGTGTCCAAGCTGTACCGAAAACCGTACCGAAATCGAAATCGAAAGTGAGCTGGCGAAACATTGAAGAAGTCAACAACCTGTGCGTGTTTGTTGCCTTCAATTCGGTGCAAAACACCCAGCTCATTAACTCAGTATCTTAGGTGGGAATTAATTATGCAGATTTATTCATTGTGTTGCGATTTCAAGTGTGGTAAAATGCAGCCCGCCTAATGAAGGTGTGTGCTGCCAATGATGATGATGATAATGATGGGTTGATGGGTTTCGGCTTTTGGGCGGTGGCTGTGCCCAATTTCGGAACACCCTAAAAGCTCTTCCACTCAACTTCAGTTTTCGATCTTACACATTAATCTGCGCAGCAATCTCACGGGCTTCCGCCCTGGGAGAAACATTAGCTTTGGCAGTAAGCACTTTTCAACAGATTTTGAAAGTGAATTTCACTGATCATTGACCTCGGCCTGTGGTTGCGTGTAATCGGTCGAGACCGAGGCCTGCCACTTGGGGGATTACATAAATCCGAAATTAGTTAATAAACGAAATCTGTAAGCTGTGAAATGAGAAACGAAAATAAGAAATGCTATTGTTCAATATATTGAAATCATGGCGTTACGTTTCGTTAAAACGCCGCTTCACCGCTGCATCGCCAGCTGCAGTTTTCCACTGACCCGCGGCTGTTCAGTCACCATCTCCAGCCGTCCCCGCGGGGTTGGCCAATGAAATTGGCTTATGTAAAAATGCGGCCATCAGCCGCCATAAACTAAGTGACATAAAAATTAACGGAAGACAAGGTGAGCAAACACTCAACACAGTTGTCAAGCCTGCGGAGCTAACGTTTGTCAAATAATTATCTTGTTGCTAAAATGATGGATTATAAGCAGGATGGTCAGTTATTTCATGGGTCCAGAGTTGAGGTCACCAATTAACACTGATTAAGCCTGATGACATGGAGCTTACCAAGAGTAATTGGTGACTTTTTCAATGTCCCTTAATAACAGTATAATTTGTATACTTTTAAATCGTAAGAAAGGTTGAGCTCGAATGTTCGCAAAACTAGGCAATACATATTTTTGCTGATATCGATTTATTACTTATTTTTAAGTTGCTTTAATAAACAAAAAGTATTTACATATTTCATAAAACAACTGGAGTTACCAAACTTAAAAAGTATTCGTCTCTAATTCTATTTTAAAACACCTAAATTTTATTGATCTTATCTAGTCTTGCAATACATTAATCATTAGTTCAAATGTACTTCAAGTTATATTTAATATAACCATTGAACTATAGGCGTTACCACAGTTTCAGCTTTATAAGTTATTTTGAATCAAGCTCTTTGAAAATTTTTTTTAACAATGCTGTTACAAATACTGAAAGTCAGAAAACAAGGAAAGTTATTTGTTTTTATCCAAAAGTTCACTGCAATTAAATGTAAGGATAGAAGTACGAAACACTTCTGTAATGGTGCTTAATTGGACTTTAATTAAATATTTGACATTTTGCAAATTACAAAAACCTTTTGAACATTAAGATAAAATCGGGAGGGGTTTTATTCAGGTTTTTAAAATTCATTTGAACAATTAATCATTTTGTTTTTCATGAAAATGTTCTCTAATCTATATCATTTTTCTTGGCCATATCCGGCCTGAACCTTGGCTCTGACCTAGTATCACGGGTATTTGCATGCAACCTTAGCCAACACTATTGATATTATATATTCACTCCACCTTCGCAGCTGATGCCGGAGTGACACCTAGCCTCCCGATGCAATTAACGGCCTAACTTTCCACCACACCCATCGAATTGGGTCGAACCGAGTTGGATTTCAATGAGCAGCGTGGCAGGGGTATACACAAATAGGCGTAATTAAATGGAAACCGTTCTAACGGGTTTCGGGGAATTGGAAAGATTCCAGTCACGAACGCGACTCGACGACAAATTACCGTTTCACAAATGCACTTGCCAAATACCCAAGAACCCGCTTGGCCAAATAAGCCAGACTAAAAATAATCCACCGATCGCAGCGCACTCACAATCACTCGGTCGGTGAGTATCTGTGAGCTTGAGTATCTGTGCGATACAAATGGCATGCACTTACCACGTGTGAGGGGCAGTGGAAGGTGGAAA